CGCCGCGCACGCGCACGGGCCGGCGGTGCGCGCCGAGCGGGGGGCGCCGCGCGGTGCAGCCACGATGGAAGGGGGTGCGTACGGAGCGGGCAAAGCCGGGGGCGCCTTCGACCCCTACACCCTGATGCGGCAGCCGCACACTATCCTGCGCGTCGTGTCTTGGGTAAGAACGGAGCGGCGCTGCAGGGCTGGCGCCCTTGGGGTGCGGGGGCGCCGGGGACCCACCCTGACCTCACCTGGCCGGGACGGTCCTGCCTGCCGAGCTGCACTCCTCGGCTGCTCGCTGCTTGCCAGGCCGGGGCAGGGAGCGCTTGCCGCCCCCTGCAACCTTGGATTCCCTCAGCACACCCCCCCCTTCATCGTGCGCCCCCGCCCCCATCGCCATGACCTCCAACGCTAGGGTGCACTGCCACACCTGCGCGCGCGTTTGGGGAGAGCACGGTTTTGGAGCTTAGTCCGCGCACTGCGGAGCGTGGAGTGGAGGATACCTTGGCTACCACCAGGACCTGCATCTCCTTCGCGGTGTGACCTTGGGCTGGGAACCACCCAGGGAATTCAGTTCTGAGCTGGGTGGGCAGCACCGTCTCTTATGTCATGCCTCAGTTTTTTCAATTTATAGAGGTGGGAGGAGCCTCCTTGAGCCCCCCCCCCTTGGGCTTTGACATTTCAGGAATCCATAATACCCCCACCCTCAGCAAACACCTGAATGGCTGCCAGATGTTGTCTGGGAGAAAGGTCCCGCTACACTGTGACGAGTATGGAGGTCTGTTTTCAACCTGCAGCCCACCTAGTGAGGACAGGACTTCCAAGGCTCAATGGGACCAAAAACAGCTTGAAGGGAGGGGTTCAGGTGGCTTTGCACCCCAGGGAAAGAAGGCTTATGGGCTCTGGGGCCCTCTGGGGCTGACTGGCTGTCACTGAGACACCTTCCTGGAGGGTCTTATCTCTGGAGGCTTGAGGCCAGTTCTCCGTGGGTCCAGACCAGAAGGGCCTGGATGAGTGGAACAGGGTTGAGACATTGTTAGAGACCCTTGGGGTTGTGCTTGAAGCCAGCTGCGACTTAAGCTTTCTGAAGTGTCCTCCTTACCTGGTTTTCACGGCCGTATCAGGATCTAGTGGGTGAGATGGTTTGAGATTTATTCTGGTCATAGGAAAAGTGACCATGTTTAAATGCCCACCCAATGGGGAGCCTTTTGATGGCAGGGAAGCCTGTTTCTGTTACACTCTGTATCCCTGAACCCTAGACCTGTCCACGAGGGTTTGGGGCATTAAATTCATAACTCTGTGGTAGTCCTCAGCTCACAGAAGCCTCCTCCTGCAGGCACTTAGGTGGAAGCCTGGGGGCATCTACAGGTCAGGTGGGCTGACTGTGTGTGCTCCTTGCTCTGCTGACCCCAAAGCCCCAAGCTGGGAGTTGGAGTCACCGGCTTTGTGAGGGGGCCGTGGGTGTTTCTTGTGCTTGGGTCATTTCTGACTCTGATGGCTTCATTTAGCAAAGCTTTATTGAGTCTGCCAGGCCTGGAGGGAAGGCAGCATGACTCAGGCACAGCTCTGGTGCTCAGGGAGTCCACGGTCCCCCTGGGGAGGGAGCCAGAGCCCTGACAGGGGCCTGGAGTCAGGACAAGGTCTCTCTGCTATGGAATTGAGGTGCTTCGTGGAGGTGATGTCATGTTGGGCCTATGGGATGCAGAGAGCTTACACTTGTGTACCTCAGGGTAAGAGGAGGACATTCCAGAAAGGAGGGGGGAAAAACTAGATCAAGCACCCTCTGTGTGCTGAGGGAACTGAGGCTCAGAGAGAATGAGTGACTGACCCAAGGTTACTGGGCATGAGAGCGACAGACCAAGCATTTGAACCCAAGTCTTCCTGTCTCCAAAGCAGAGGGCTTCTCCTGCGGGCGGGGAGACTGAATCCTGGACTCCCCATATTGGAAAGGACTTAAAGGTTATCTAGTCTAACCCACACCCAAAGCTCAAAGCCCTCAATGACCTCCCAGCCCTGCTCTCACACTTGGATTCCAGGTGCTGTCTGCTTTAGAGCAGGGTGTGGTAGCCCACGCCTGTAATCTCAGTTCACACTAGGTGAAGGAGGATCATGAATTCAAGGCCAGCCTCAATTGCATAGCAAGTTGGAGCCAGCCTGGGTTGCACAAGACTGTATTTTATTTTATTTTATTCTTTATTTTTCTTTGAAATAGGGTCACACAATGTAATCCTAGCTGGCCTGGAACTCATAGAGATCCACCTTCCTCTGCCTCCCAAGTCCTGGGATAATAGATATGAACCACCCTTCTCAATTTCTCTGTTTGGGTTTTGGGAAAATGGTCAGTGTTGGCGGGGGTGGTGGTGGACCTCACAGAATGTGCTGGCCTCCCCAAAGAGCAGCTATAACCCTCAAGTGTCACCTCCTTACCCCTGTGCCTCAGTCTCCCATTCTGAACAAGGGGAGGCTAGGTCAGATGTGCCACACTGGTTGACGGTTCATCGCTGCAGCCTGTCAGGAGTGCACCACCATGCCTGGCGAGTCAGGGTCTTTAAAAAAATTTTTATTTATTTTTATTTTATGTGTATGAGTGTTATGTCTGCATGTATATAAGTGCGCCTGAGTCGCACAATGCCCAAGGAGGACAGAGATGGCATCAAATATCCCTGGAACTGGAGTTATGCACGGTTGTTAGCCGCCATGTAGGTACTGGGAATCAAACCCAGGTCCTCTGCAAGAGCAGCCAGTGCTCTTAATCACTGAACCAACTCTCCAGCCCTGTCAGGGTCTTTTAAAAAAAAATTTTTTTTTTTTAATTATGGAGGAATATGTTCATGTGAGTGCAGTGCCTGCATAGGTCAGAAGAGGGCATCCAGTCCCCTGGTGCTGCAGTTAAAGGCGTTTGTGAGCCACTTGATGTGTGAGCTGGGAGCTAAAAAAATGGTTTTCATGGGGCTGGAGAGATGGCTCACCGGTTAAGAACACTGGCTGTTCTTACCGAAGACCTGGGTTCGTATCCCAGCACTCACATGGCAGCTAACAACTGTCCGTAACTCCAGTCCCGGGGCTCTGACAGCCTCTTTGATCCACGTGGGCATTGCATGATATGGGTGCACTTACCTACATGCAGGGAATACATACATGCATACACATATAATAAAAATAATAAAATATTTTTTTAAATGGTTTGCATGAATTAATTAAGAAGGTTCTTGTTTTTTGGTCTTTTTTTTTACGATAGGGTCTCCCTGTAGTCCCAGCTAGCCTGGACCTCACTATGTAGACCAGGCTGACTTTGAATCTTGAATTCACAGAGATCCTCCTGCATCTGCCTCCTGTGCTGGGATTAAAGGTGTGCACCACCATGCCCAGCCAAGAACTCAATACATAGCTGAGGATGACCTTGAACTCGTGATCCTCCTGCAGCCTTCTCTGGGATTATAGATATACCACTACTAGTGGCTGCACTGATCTTTTAAGGATTCAGTAAGGGTTCTGTAAGTAGGGTGAGCATCTTTTTCTCATTTTTCAGATGACAGCAGCAAGCTCAGTTTGGTGGTAACTTACCCTAGCTCCAGACATAGAAACATCTAGGCTGAAAGGCTTCAAGTTCACTATACTTTGTGCAGTGGCATCTGGGAACAAGTGTCCTGGCTGGAAGTGTGGCTTTCTTTGGTACATGGACAGTTGAAGGCCTGGGAACCTGAAACAGCATGGGCTTCAAGCAGGACCACCTTGATAGACCTTGGAAATGCCCAACTCTCCAAGCCCATATCCTTATTTGTGACATGGGGTTGGAGAGCCTGGAAGGTTTGTGGCAGTGGTTAGTTCTTCCTTGCTTTATTTGTTACCTTCACTTTTATTATTATTATTATTATCATCATCATCATCATCATCATCATCATTTGGGGGGTGTTTGAGACAGGGTCTATAGCCTGCCCTGAAACTTACTATGTAGACCAGGCTGGCCTCAATCTCACAGAGATCCACCTGCCTCTGCTTCCCAAGTGCTGGAACTAAGGCTCCCACACTTTATTACTATTGTTATTGTTTGTTTTTGCAGCCCTGAATCTAATGCATACTAGACAAATGTACTGAGCTACTTCTTCAGCCAATTTTTAACTTTAAAAAAATTTCATATTTTTTTATTTTTATTTTATGTGTATGAGTGTATTACCTGCATGTATGTAAGTGTACCTGTGTTGTGCAATGCCCAAGGAGGTCAGAAGAGGGCATCAGATCCCCTGAAACTGGAGTTACAGATGGTCGTTAGCCTAGGTGCTGAGAACTGAACCAGGGTCCTCTGCAAGAGCTGCCAGTGCTCTTAACTGCTGAGCCATCTCTCCAGTCACCATTTTTCTTTTTTTGGTCTTTTTGAGACAGGGTCTCCCTGTAGCCCCAGCTGTCCTGGAACTCACTATGTAGACCAAGCTGGCCTTGAACTTGCAGAGATCCACCTGCCTTTACCTCCCAAGTGCTGAGACTAAAGGTGTGTGCCACCACGCCCAGCCCCAGTCCCCAATTTTTAACTTTTTATTTTGAGTCAGGGTCTTGCTAAGTGGCCTAGACTGGCCTTAAACTGATCTTCCTGCCTCCACCTCCCAGTGCTAGACTTACAGGTGTGCTCTCCAGTTTTATCCCCACTTCACATGGTAACTGAGGCCCAGAGACAGTACCTGAAGGTTCTGGGATGGGTGAGTGAGTCCCTAGCCCCATGACCCAGAGAGGCCGAGCTGAGCCTGGGGGCTGGGGGATGGGAGAGGGGTGGGAGGGGGGTGGGTGGGGGCAGGGCACAAAGGCCAGGAGGACAGAGGGGAGGAGGACAAGCCAGGAGGGGAGGGGAGGGAAGAGGGAGAGGCAGATGGCAGGGTGGTTGGAGGAGTCACACTTGGCACTCAGACCTGAAGAACCAGCTGTCCTGGTGGGAGAGGAAGCATGCAGGACAAGTGCTTTACGGCAGCCTCCTTCAGCCCTAGCTGGCTGTGTGATTAGAGCAGGATGCTCTTTAGGCCCCAGTTTCCCCATTTGTGAAATAAGAAAAGGACAAACTTTCCACCCTCAAAGAACCCTGCCCTTGATCTCAGTAGGCTCAGTGGAGAACTTTTGTTTTGTTTTGTTTGTTGTTTTGGGAGGTGGGGGGTTGAGACAGGGTCTTCCTGTAGCCCCAGGTGGCCTGGAACT